ATGAAGTGGGTTCTGCTTTTAGAGCTCTTCTTAAGTGGGCCTGCAGCTCCTTGTAACAGCTTAGACATATCAAAGTTAGCCTTAACAAAGAGTACTAACTATTAATTAAACTTTCATCTTAATCCAATCCAACTGTCAATTGTGAGGAAATAATTCTTGGAACTCTAAGACAGAAAAATTTCTAATTCAAGATCAAAAGTAGGATAGTATGATACTCAATTCACTCCCACAATAGGTGGGCACATGTAAATAGCTTGTTGGGAATTGCCTCAGGAATATCGTGCTTGCTGAGCCCTGACCTTTTGGACTGCCTCTTCAGGCCACTCAGCCAGCCAGCTCCCCCAGACACGAATCAAGGCATGACTCAGACCTGTCACTTCTTTTCATCTCCCTTCCTCTCCACCAGCTGCTGGAAGAATTAAATGCAGATAGCAGATGAGTGTAAATCTGCTGGCATGCCAGTCCCACCCAGCTCTGACACAAAGAGCAGTGCTGGCTGATGGATCTGCTGTGTTTGGGACACTCAGGGAGCCTGTGTGCTTCAGGAGGGTGCCTGCAGTGCCACAGCCAGGATGGGCAATGCTGACCCCTGATCAGAGCAGGGCCCCTGCAGAGGGCACTCAGGGATGGCTTGTCTACTGCCCAGTGATGCTGGACCAAGGAAATTTTTATGGGAGAGGCAACAGTTTGTTTTACCACTTTCATTTCTGTCAAGACTGGTAAAGGTCTTTGCTACAGTACTGTCAGAAAACATTTTTTTGCCTGGTTGCTTTAGGAACAGGGAGAATTTCCTGAGCAATCTTCTTGTCCTTGCCTAAATGCCCACAAGCAAAGTACGTGAAAGACACAAGTCATGAGTTAAAGTGAAGACCAAGATTTCCTGTGGTATCAATATTCAGCCCACCTTCATGTGGACCCCTGGGGGTTGTCCGTTTGCTGAGGGCTTAATTTCTGTCAGAAAATCAGGATTGTCTCTTAGCAGCATCTCTGAGATGAGCTGGACTGTGCAGCCCAGCCTGTGTGCTCAGAGTGCCAAGCATCACTGCTGAACACAGACTGCTTTGGGCCAGAGCTCTGAGGAAAAGAGAAAAACTGGGGTGAAAACGGCAAAAAGGAGCCTCAGTCTGGAGTAAACACAAACTTCCCAGCTGGGTAACACAGTCTGGGGAAATATAGACAGTGTTTCCATCCCAACCCTCTTCTCCAAATATAAAAATAAAACCCGTTAAGTGACTGAGGTAAGGAGAAATTTCCCATTCTGCTGGACAGAGCAGAGACAGGGGAAGTGTATTGGGGGCACAACCAATCATTCATATTTATCCTGGAAAGAGAGCAAGGGAAAGATGAGCTGTGCAGAGCTCTATGTCAAGGGAAGGAAATTCCAACTAGAAAAGGAGATTTTGAGCCATTTGCAAGACAAATGAATTGAACAAGTGAATGCTGTGGCTCTGTGGTGCTGAGGAAAAGCAAAGAAGAGCTGCCAGGAGGGGTCCAGTCCAAAGTGGCAGGAGGAGCTGGGAAATCCAGTCCAGTGACAGATGAAAAGGACAAAATAAACATATGAGGAAGCCCAGGAGGACAGAGCCATAAGAAATGAAAATTTAAATAAAAGCTATAGGGGTTTAAAATGTTGATTTAAATCCAGCATATAATCCCATGCATTTGACATTGCTGGTTCAAATAAACACCCAGACTGAGCTCACCATGTCCCCATCAGCACCAGAGGACCCAAAAGTAGGGCTTCCTCTCACTTTAGTGAATGGTGCCTCTGTTTTCCACTAGTGAAAAACAAAGCCTGATTGAAAGATTCCTTTTGCAAAAGCTATCAGTATTTTAAATCCTCCCAGTCAAATTGGTTTTGTACACAGTAAACACTGAGTAATAACAATTTACACTGATCCTGTAAGAAATACTAAAGGAAGAGGGGTTACTATAACCTGGGAAGGTAATTTTTCTCACAACATCAAAGAAAAGTTATTGTTGCAAAAAGGTTTTTAAAGATTCTTGTAGCCACAACCTGAAAACTACATCTCTGTAGCATTCAAACTCTTCTAAGTTATCATCAAAGATAATACCACATAAATACTACTTAATCCAGGCATCTGAACTGCCTTCTGCAACATATGCATGATCTTTCCATTTTTATACACAACAAATCTGATAAACAGAGATTATATAAAGAGAAGTCATTGGAGTATTACCGCATGAGCATAGCACAGAATAGTTTCCTTCTTCTCAAGTAATCCCAATAATGAAAAAAAACAAACTGGTTTCCTTAAGAAAAAGAAAATTACATTAAAAATTCTCTGACTGAGCCTACTTTACTTTCTGTTCAGTTTTTTTTAAATGCTTAAGATTCTAAAAGCTCTGTATCACAAAGCAAACCAAATTTCTGCTTTATTTTGCCTTTTTTTTTAATTTACTGCCACCATGTCGGTTCTCAACAGCTTTGCCAAACTGAAAAACAAGAATGAAGAAGATAAGGAGGAACAGAAATAGAAGTATCTGTTAGGATTAGGAGTTAAATAAAATGTAAGAAGTATTTAGGACAAAATTATCCCAGAAAACAAAATCTTGGATGCCCATCCCTCAGGGAGATGAGCACAGGGAGAAGCAGACTGAGCAGGCGTTGGTGCTGCAGGCCAGCAAACACAATCCACAGGGCAATAGATAGAGAAAAATTGTGAGAAAAGAGCTGTAAAGACCTATATTCACACTTGGAGAAGTGTGATGATTCAGATGCTGGCAGCCACTTGAAAGACAGTCCTGAAGAACAGCACCAGCTTTCTTGTGAAGGCTTTCTGTCAAAGTTTCAAGTGCTTTGTTTATTCGTCTTAGCAAGTGGATAGCCCTGAGAAATACAGGAGCAGCACGAATGCATTACTGAGTAAATGTCCTAAACATAAAAATAATTGAAGTAATAATCCTGTGGTCATCTGAGTAGCTATCACCTTGATTTCTTGCATACAATTAAAACCAAGGAAAGAATGCTGATTTTTTGGCTGCAAGATGTAATGCTGCAAGGGCTGGGACAGGGAGACGTGCTCTGCAATTCCAACAGGACAAGAAGAGGCACTCTGCTAGTGCAGAGCACAGGGGAAAACCTGGCACTGAGGAGGTGGCACTCAGCAGGCACAGGCAGGAGTGGGCAAGGCAAAGCCTCTTGGGTACAAAGTTATTTCACCAAACTTGCAGAGCTGCCATCACAATTGCTCTTACAGAGCCCTGTGAGTTTTCTCACATAAGTTTTCTCTTAACTTTCCAGTTTATTTATAACAAAAAATGACAAAAGCCAGTGGTCATACAGTGGGAAATCTCATCAACAGTTGGGCACAGACATTCAGGACAGGCACCAAAAAGAGCCATGAGTCCTGTGGCTACCTGTGAGGGGCAGCAGGAAGGCAGGAACACGTCCTGGAAGCCTTAAGGAGAAATTTCAGCTCATCCTCCCTGGCTTTCTCAAGGAGCTGGAGAAGCTCTCCCCCATGTCCTGTGTGCAGGCAGCAAAGCAGAGCATGAGCTCTGCCTGGGGTTCATGAGCACTGTCCTGTCTGTCAGTGTGAGCTGCTTGGCTATGTGGATGTTTCCAGGATATTGGATATTTCCAATGTGGAATATCAGGTATTTCCAGTAGTGGATATTTCCAGAGAAAGCCACTGGTGGGCTGCTCTGAGAGGCCACCAGCACCCTCATGGCCTCTGCAGGGAGTCCAAACTAGGCTGGAAGGAAGCCCCACTCAGAAAGCACAAACAGCTTCTTCACCACTGAAAATTGAGTTCATCCACCAAGGGACAGAAGTATTGTGTGACAAGTGTGGCCACCTCAGTGCTGGGCACGGGCGTTCATGGGTTGTGCCTCCACCACCCTCAGGTGCTCTGCTCTTCAGGGCACTCAGCAGAGAGCTCTGAGCAGTGTGCTCAGGGGTCAGAAACTCTACAAGCCAGCTGGACATCATGAGTGGACAATGCACTTCTATTTGGAAATGGGATATTGAGTATTAACTGCTCCCTGCTCTCGGCATTGCCATCTGGTAAATAAAGCCCAGGGTTTGCTCTAATTAGCTCTGTCTGTCTGCACAAAGCAGGACCTACAGAATTTCCTCCAGATCCACTTCAACCAAAACATCTGCAAGAGCTGGGTCTGGGAATAAAAGCCTGGGCAAGGGGCTCTGCTTGGTGCTGTGAAAGATGTGGGTTTCACACATCACACACTTTCAAATCTAAATTCCTCTGGGGCTGCCAGAGCAAGCCTCTGAAGAAAGAGATTTGCACCAATATGCCAAAAGCAGAATCAAGCCCTGGATTTACTACTCTCTAGCTCAGAGCAGAAATGCTAAAGTGCCACTCCATCCCTCCTCCTCCTGGACGAATCTCTACCCCGGGGTACACGAAAAATGCCTTTCACGGCTCCACATAATAATAACATTAATAATAATAATACTAATTCTTTTCGGGACTGATCCGTGACGCCTCCCCCAGGCCGGCGTGCTGCAGCGGGCTCCGAGCGGTGCCGGGCACGGTGGCAGCGGGTGGCAGCTGTCCCTGCCTCCTCCTGCCCATCCTACGGGAGCAGGGGACAGCGAGCCTGGCAGCCTGCAGGTGTCTCCCGGCGGAGGAGGCTGCGGAGCCCCTCGGGAGGATGATGTGCGGTAGCCGAGCAGATGTTCACTCGCCTCTGGGGCTCCTCGGGAGGCAGAGCCGCTCCGCTCCCCTCAGCGCGCTGAAGCTCCGCGGCTGCGAGAGATCGGCCCCGCTGCCGCGCCGGCAGCTGCTCCTCTAACCAACAAAGGCAGGGTTTCAAGTGAAGGGGAAGAATGGGAGTCTGGCTGCAGAGCTTCCTTCACCGCTTCAGCAGCAGATTGGAAGAAGCCGAGAGTTTTGATGCCTGGACAACTGGATTCTGAATCGTGAGAGGCTTTGAAACCCACCCCCCCCTCCCAAATAAAACAAACCCCTTTGACTTCTTCTCTCAGCAGGAGGGGGAGGGAGGGCGGATTTACCATGAAGACAAATCGAAGATGCAGAGCCCTGCTAGCAGTGAGTCTGAATCTGATGGCTCTCCTCTTCTCTACAACAGCTTTTATCACGACCCACTGGTGTGAGGGCACACAGAGGGTCCCCAAGCCGAGCTGTGGGAAAGAGAAGAAGACAAACTGCCTCAACTACGGCGGGAATGAGACTGCAAATGAGACGAACCAGAATGTGGTTCATTACAGCTGGGAGACGGGAGATGACCGCTTCCTTTTCAGGTATTTCCACACTGGGATCTGGTACTCCTGTGAGGAAAATATCAATGCTGCTGGTAAGTATAAAACAACTTCCTCCCAGCCTGTGTTGCTTTGTGTTCGCCTCGGTGTGATAAGCGACGGGCAAGCCGTTCTGTGCCCTGCCTTAGAGCAGAGAGAGGCAGGGGTTTAACAGTTCTTTGTCGAAAAGCAACCTGTTTCCTGCGGGAGCAGGGATTTGCTTGTTTACCTGCTGGCTGCTGCAGGGTCTGAGCTCCCCAGCCGAGCCAGCTGAGCCCCGGAGCAGCAGCGAGTGCCGCCGAGCCGGGCACTGCAGCCGGGGCGGGCAGCGCTCCCGCAGCCGCTCTCGGAGCGCACGGCGGCAGCGGCCGCTCCTCCGGCAGCTCCTGACATCCCACAGCCATCGACCCCCGGACAGCGGGCAGGGGAGCACAAAGGTCACGGCTTTTACCAGCTTTTGCCTCTTTTCTGCTCGCTCTGAAGTAAATGACCGCCCGCGAGCCCTCCCTGGAGTGTGTGGTTATTGAGCAGAGAAATGCAGTTAAAGGGCTCAACTGGGCACAAGAAAGCTCATTTCTGTTCCCTGCTCAGCCATTTACTTGCTGGGAAGCACTCAAAAACACATCTCTCCAGCTTATCAGGGCATTGATTTCCTCTGCTGTAGCCTGGCACTTCCCAAGGATTAAAACACTGAAGGGTGGATGGCAGGCAGTTGCCCTGGGACCAATTTGAGTCTCAGCAGATGCAAACTGACAGCCCCTACTCCCAGAGCTGTCTGCTAGAGCTAATATCCACACTCTTCTTTTGAAAGAGCTCTTTTCCAGATTATGTGACTGAAAAATAAAGTTTACAGATGTGACTCAGTAGGAGATGATGGGCTGTGGATACTTGCTCCTCACTGGGCTGTTCCCATCCCATCCCATCTTGCCTTTGCCCTAGGAGTAGATCAGGGAGTTGGTCCTTCACTGGTGGGAGAGAGGAACAGTTGGCCATGGATGTGTTGTGTCTCTGAGAACACAGCCCCTCTGGTAATGGGAAGTTTAGGGTAGAATTCTGATAAAATGGGTAGAATTCTCTGTGAGAATGTACTATTAAATGGGGCAAACCTGGGAAGTGCTCACAGCCTGTTTCATCCCAAGGGGTTGTGTATTCTCCCTGGTGTTTTTGAGGAGAGTACTTGCAGAATTAGTTGTTTATTAAAACTCAATTTAATGTTAAAAAAGGAAAGTTCATGAACTCCAGCCTTGGGACTGCAACAGCTCCAGGCTGAAATGAGAGCACCAAAGCAACACTCTGGATGTTAGAAAGAAAAACACAGAAAAAAAAAGCTGATTTGTCTTACTGATTGGGGAATCAGCTTAGGCCACAGCAGCCTGAGTGAGCAGCCTAAGACTCTCTGCCTTTTTGAGCATCTTAGCTGGGGTTGGCATGATCAAGGATGCCCATATTTCTGGCAGATACTGAAATCTTTCCAAGTCCAGATTTATGTGTGAGATAAGTTGTAACTGTGTGACTCTAGCCCACTCAGAAAAGTGAGTTATCTGTGGGAGAAGAGAAACACAGTGATCTATTCTGTACCGGGTAAACAAAGCTGTGCTGTAGTGGGTGATTTCAGGAGAGAGCTGGAAGCCAGCTTTAAAAAGTTATGGTGAAAGCAGGGGTTGCTTCTCCCTCCCCACACCCCCACAGCAGCTCAGCTCTTACCTGAAACTCTTCAGTTAGCAGGCTAGGAGTGACCAACCTTTGGAAATAACCCAGGCAGGTACAGGGACGTACTGGCTTAGACAGACAGCTGCCTCTTTCAGATTTACCATATCTTCTCCTGAGAAGGACAGGAACAATGTAATGGACACGGGTCTAAATTTGTCCCTAATAGTGCCAACATAAAATACCCGACAGCTCTTCACTCAGACTGATGGGTTTGCAATGCTAGACTGTCAGAGTGTTGTCATGGCCTCTTGCAGCCTGACTGATGATCATTTTATCTGAGCTGCAAGGCCCCGAGGCACCAGCCCCAAGCCAGCAGCACAGGGCTGTGCTTACACAGACAGCCCCACTCCACCTCCCTGTGAGGAATGCAGCCCAGAGGCTCATCCCCCATCCTCAGCACACCTGCTGAGCCCAGTCCTGCAGGCATCACAAGTCACACGGTCATGGCTGTGTGTTTATATTGTCATTAATTGCATTAATACTGTTAAATAGGGGTGTATTCAATTAGTCAAAATGCCCAGCTCAGATGTACTGTACACTGTCAATAGCATCTTTCTTAAAGCTCTACCAGCAGCACTCTGAAGTGACTGCAGCAGCAGCCTTGCTCCAGGCAAAGTCCCTTCCACAGTCACTCCCAGCCTCACACTTTGCCAGCAGAACATATGGCCAGAGCCCATGGTCAGCACCATTCCCACAGCTCCCATCCCATCCCAATTCCTCCCTGACTCACTGATGTCTGAATTTAAGCAATGTGAGAAGAGACCTCATCACAATCTATAACTTCCTTATGGGGGAATAGGAGGGTCAGGCACTGATCTCTTCTATCGTGACCAGTGACAGGATCCAAGGGATCCAAGGATCCTCAAGTTGTGTCAGGGCAGGTTTAGGTTGGATATTGGGAAAAGGTTCTTCCCCCAGAGGGTGTCTGGGCACTGGAACAGGCTGCCCAGGGTACTGGTCCCAGCACCAAGCCTGCCAGAGCTCCAGGAGTGTCTGCACAACACCCTCAGGCACAGGGTGGGATTGTTGGGGTGTCTGTGCAGGGCCAGGAGCTGGATTTGATGATCCCTGTGGGTCCCTTCCCTCTGTGATTCTGTGCTGGGTCCCACCAGGCACAGGTGAATGCCAGGAACTCTATGTGTGATCATGGCATTGCCAAAACTTTCCAGAGCCTCCAGACTTCCACAGCTATGAGCCACGTTCTTCCTCCAGCCACCAGGCTTTTGACTTCTCTCTCCTCCAGCCACACTGTCAAAACTTTCTGCTCCCTGCACTGGTGCAGCTGCAACACAGCAGCTCTTGTGCCAACAGGAGCAGCTCCCAGCAGGCTGATGCTGCAGGGAACAGGATTCCAGGGCTCCCACTTGGCTGGAGGGGCTGGGACCCAGTCACACCTTAAAATGACATTTAGGCAGCTAGCAAACACATTTTTGTGTGTCTTCTCCTTGCCCCTGTTTATCTGCAATGTGCATTTAGATTCCAGAGGCTGAGGTGCAAGCAGCATGCCATCCACTTTGTGCAGAGCCCAGCAGAGCGTGCCTGCCTCTTGGTGCCAGTTTCTGGTTTCCACTGACAGCTCTAACAGAGATTGAATGCTGTGATTATTTCCGAAATAATTTGTGAATCTAGAGTTTATTTTTATCCAGCATGTCTAGGACAGCTCAAGAATTCAAAAAGCATTTAGTACCTGAGAAATGTAATTGTGAATCCCCTCTGGGAAAAGAGGGACTGGAGTGTTTCTGTTTCTCTGGTGGGGGAGTCCTGTAATTATTTAGCACAATTTCTGACTCAAAAGTGTGATGGATCCCAGTCTGCCAGAAAGAGGTTCTCCCTTTCAGAGTGGGTTCAGTGCTTTGGATGCCACACAGGTGGAGGTGCCTTCTGTAGGAGCAACACACCCAACCTCAGAAAGGGATGAGGATAAAGCTCTGCTGAGTGTGCTGCTCATGAGCCCTCCCAGGCTGCACCTGGGGCCTCCTTCTGGGCTGTGAACTCCTTGGCCAGGGCCAGATGTCTCAGAGCCAAGCTCACCAGCATTTAATTTCTTTTTAAATGTAACTTTGGGCACGTATCTTGTTGCATACACCCAGTCTGTGCTTGGACACCTCACAAGGCACCACAACAATGCTGCACTGACAGCAGCAGTGGTGAACCTGCTCCTAGATTCCATGACTCAAGAACACACACGCCATGAAAAAATTAACACATTAAGTAGGCAAGGTGGCATATCAAATTCTAAAGGGGAGTTTGAGAGTAGGAAGTAGTTTGAGTTGCTGGGAAGCAATGAGAAGTCAGCCAGTTTTGCTCAATTGTGTGTTTGCTTTGATGTTAATAGAAAAACCCATGAACTAAGACCTAGCTTTAGTTGCCAGTGAACAGACAAGCTCAGTGTTAACATCCACAGCCAGAGGGGAAGAGCAGCTGCCCAGCTGCCTTTTAACAGTACTGTCCCATTAAATAAACAAGGATGCTCACCATGCTCCCCAGAAATCAGGAGAGCAGGAATGAGTATGCATGGCTTGTCTTGTGGGTTTAGATTGAATTTTTTGGAGGGCAAGGGGCCTGTAGCCCTTTGTGTGCTCTATGCCACCTATTCCTCCTGAAGGAGGAAATGAGAGTGGACTTGAATTGGATGTAAATATCAAAATGGGTCAGAAGTGCAGGCTCTGAATGTGCCTTGAGGAGAAGCCAGAGAAGGAGAGGGGTTTCTCCTGCAGAAATGAGTAAATCTGTGCCATAAACACCAGAAGTTTCCCTAGCCTTTCCCAGCTGCAGAGCAGTTCTGCAACACCTCTGTCCCCCGCCCCTGTGATAATCACACATCACAGTGATTCACCACAGGTGGCTGCCCAGACGGGCTGGGGAGAAGTGCCTTGTGAGTGTATAATTAAAAGCAAGAGGACTTGGGAATTCTTGCTGGATTATGAGAAATACAATATAATTGGCATGACTGAAACCTGGCAGGTTTATTCGCATGACTGGAATGTAAAAATTGCTGGTTATAAATCGTTAGGAAGGAAAGAGTGGTAAAAGGAATGGAGGAGGTAGAGCTCTGTATTAAAGATAAAATTTCCAGTGCTAGAGGAACTGAACCCAGGGGGCTAGGATAATCCATCTGAGGATGTTGAAATAATTGGTACATGAAAATGCAGGTTTAGAAGAATCTGTACATCACTGTTTTAAAGAAAAGTGGAGAAAAATTGTACAGGCTACTTGACCCAGGGATTTTAGGACAGTTTTCTGAGAAAGCACTCATTGCATGGCAACAAATAGTTTTCATCAAAGGTATGGGTTTATTAAAGGTAAATCATTTACCAAGATGAATCACTTTGCAGACAAGGGTAAT